CGAGAGAGAGAGAGAGTAGGAGGGAGAAAGCGAGCGAGAGAGAGAGAGAGAGAGAGAGAGGAATAAAGATATATGGAGAGAGGGAGCGGGGGAGGAAGAGAGAGTGGGATCGGAAGACTTAGAGAGAAAGAGAGAGAGTGAGAGAGGGAGAGAGAGAGAAAGTCGTGCGTGGGGTGGGTGGATGAAAGGGTGTCACAAGTTCATGGGTCAATTCCCTCATCTGAAAAACAATTCATACGTTAGAATTCACCTACCCCGATCCAAGACGAGAAAAAAACGGACAGTAGAAAAAAGGAGGGGGGTGAGGAGGAGGAAGGATGGAAAGGGCCACAGTCAAATCCCTAGAATAAGAGCGCTGACATACTTGCCTTTATTACAAAGTCATGTTTGTGTTCGAGAGTTATTTCCATTGTCGTGACTAATTGCATACAGTTTGGTGTCAACTGAAGTAGAAACGGTAGGACTTTATGGATCAATACATGTATTCACTATGTTTGTGCATTCTACTTGAACAGTCTTGAGTTTAGTATGTAAATGAACATAGGAGCATAATTTGTGGGAGTGCGTAGGGCGAGAGAGAGGGAGACAGAGGCAGGGGGAGAGAGAGGGGGAGTGGGAGAGAGAGGGAGGAAGGGAGAGAGAGTGAGGGGGATAAGGAGAGAGGTGGGAGCCGCAGGTGATCAGGCATGGCGTGGATTTGGTATTGGTTTAATTTGGCCAGTGTTTTGAATATTATTGTCCAATTGGTAAAATTATTAACAAGCCTTTTAGTCTGCTTCAACCTCGAATACTAGATGGTTTTTATGCATGTAGTTTTACACCCCTATCGACACAGCTTAGATCATTTAGCAGGTGGGCTTTGATCAACCCGTCAGAGCTAACCTTGGCTGAGAGGATGCAGCAACTCAGCAGAAAGATCAAGATACTCTTCCTTCACGGGAATCGAACTCAGATCGTCTGTGCGTGACTGCGAAGCGCCGAACCACTACACAAAGGACCCCCGTAGGAAAGGTGTGGACGGTGGGAAGCTGCAAGTGGTATGAACTGCTAAAAAAAACAAAAACAAGTTGATTAACTACATGTGTAAACTTTAACTTTAATTACACTCTTCTGTTTCTGATTCCAGTTGCATCACTCAGATAAGCTTAGGCCAACGGGTTGTTGGTGTGAATATTATTGTAAGCAAGTACATGTATATATATAATATATAATATTTAACTGCAACCGGCAGTCCTCTGTCCGATGTGTCATTCGAGTGTATCCAGCGAACCAAAGCAAAAGATAGGTATTTAGAATTCCACGTTCAGGTTCAGTGAGCGTAAAAGGTCGCAAAAGGGGTTACAAAGATTGTGTCTTGTATTAACGTAAAAGGTTTCAGCTTTGAAAATGGATTAAGAGTGGGTGGAAGTTAAACAGCTCTCACAACATGGAAGCGTTGAAAGTAACTTTATCCAAACGTGTTCTCCTCCTCCTCCTTCTCGCCCTCGATCCTCCTCCTCCCCCTCGATCCTCCTCCTCCCCCTCTTCCTCCTCCTCCTCCAGGCCCACGCTTCGTTGGCTTACATTCATACTCATACGGTGTGGTTCACCTTTTTGTATATAAAAAAATTAAAAGGGAATTATTAATAGACTGTAGCACGTTGTTAGACGTAGACTGCATGAACGTGGGTACTTTGATCGTTTTATTAGCCCTCTCGTGTGTAGGAGGTATACTGTTGAAGAAGGGGGTGTTCTCATTAGTAAACTGTTGGAAAATTTAGCTCAATATTGCTTCGTTTTATGTGCCTCGTGGGAAATACTGTGAGATCGGGAATTGGTGACAAAAAGAGAGAAATGATGTTGAGGTTTGATTAGATTGGCCCACATGTATGGTGAAGTTTCGACGCGCAGGCGTTGGGGCACAGAAATCGTGGACTGAAGACCTGATCTCTTGTTCTGAGTTCTGATTTTTTTTTACCATTTGTATTTTTAAGTCCGTTCCAATAAAGCAAACGGTATCCAGTCTTTAAAGTAGCCATGCTATGTCGAAAAGAGCCATCAACTCCATGTTTAATCTTTTAGAGACATGCATTCACTTGGAATAAGGTGGAAAATATTTACTGCAAAGTATTGTCATGATTTGAATGAAAGTGCAGAATCTTTTTGCCCCAGATGTTCTCTTGTCTCCGAATTCTCTACATACAGTACTGGAAGAAAATTCCTAGTTCCATCAGTCTGCGATAGTAAGTGTTGAAAGGGGATGCCTAACCCACATTTTCAAATTGACCCCAGGCAATAGGTTGACGTATT